TCTCTCTCTCTCTCTCTCTCTCTTTCGTTCTTTAGTAATTACACATATTTAAAAAAGCGTGCATTCATGTGCATCTTTAGTGCATTGGAATGAAAAGAAAGATATCATTAGTTGATGATTTGATTGACTAAGTAACAAATGAGGCAGCAACTGAATGTATCACAGTCCATGCAATTATAACTCCTAATGCTGTCAAACTGAAATTACATCAGTAAGAAATACTGTTTACCTGTCGTGTCATCCATGCGGTGTGGGCGTGACTTCACTTGGCTTCTCAGTCGCCCTCTCCTGGATAAAACTGTGAATAGCCATGTGTTAGAAACTGCTAAGGATTCCTACATTTTAGCAGAAAATAACACTCCAGGGGGAGCTCTTGAGCGGCTGACTTTATTCACAGACGTCTTTCAAGTCTAACTTCTAATGATACACACTCTCTCTCTCTCTCTCTCTCTCTCTCTCTCTCTCACACACACCTGTGCACACTCACACACACGCACTCGCACACACAAACTGGCTGCAAAAAGCAGCAGTCTGACATCTGCTCAGAATTAAACATAAGTCTCATTGCATAACACCATCTTAAGACTTTCGTGTTTTTTTTTTTCTTGAGTCTAGGCAGACTGAAAGGATAAAACAGAGCTAATTCAACCACATTTTAATACTTCCATTGGTTTTTGGTAGCACAACTTTTCAAGATCAGAGCCTTTTGCACTTGGAATGTTGTTAAGCACTGCTATTACACCAATACATTCTTGATTTTATTGTAAAATATCTTGATTTATAAATAAAAGAAGGTCAGTTTTTTGTAACTCACTCCATTTAATTTCACCCATTTTCTGTTGTATTGTGTATTAGTTTTATCACCAGTTTCATTCAGTCACCTTCCTCATGGAAATTAGCCAAGTTTCAGCATCAAAAAGGTCCATTCTCCAATGCATGCAATGCACGAAACACTGCTCACACAAGTCACTTTCAAACCAAGCAGCTCTCTGTTGATTAAATTGCCATTTTGCCATTACACAAAATTCCCAATCTTGGAGATTCCTATTGAAATTATTGGATTTCACTGGCAAAATTTCAAATGTGACTATGTGACTGGACCTTAAGTGATTACACATGCCAGTTTTTGATTCAGATCATGGTTCTGTCTCATTACAAACCCACATCTTGGATGGATCTCAGACCAACTCTCACACTGCAATTGGATCCATAGTTCATGTTTCATTACTCTTTTTCCAGGCCTCATCTGGATTTTAAAGACCCCTTAAATTAAGAAATGGCATTTTGTGGATTTTAGACCATATTTGTTAGCTTTTGAGACCATCTTCATGCTAGTATACTATTAAAAGTTGACAAACCTTCAGTACCACTTGCCTCTAACAAGCAATAGTGAGTAGCAAATCATGATTTTCCAAGGCTGCGATGTATACTAGGCTATTTTATAAAAAGACAAACTCTTTGATATGTTTTGCCCCAACTTCGTTATAAAAAATTGCATTCATCAAACCACTGGATGTAGTCTTTAATGATCAATGAAGCCTTCATCTGCTGTGGTCACTTCCTTTGATTGTGCACCTGCATCTCAGTTCATTTTTTTAGTACAGGCCTTTGTGTTAACATGATTGTTTACATCCTGCAGTTCGGAGGACTTTTGGCTATTGTTTGTTTCCTTTGTGTGACTACTGATCTGTAGCTGATTCAATGCATCTGCGTCAGTGTTCAGGTGGCGGTAGCCATCTGCGGGCCTGTATACAGTCAAACAGGAGGCCTTTTTAAAAAAATAAATAATGTACAGTTTATATCTGAAGGACTGGAGCAGGGATGCGAATTATGGACAGAACATCAGCACTTCTCCATGGAATAAAAGTTCCCTTTAACTTCACTACATTTAATACTTTGCACCAAAGTCACTGACTGACATCATGGACCGTTCAACAGG